TATTAATTTGTAATCTACTGAGAGGAGTTATTCCCCTTTGCCATTTACTTTTGATAATTAATCACTGTAAATAATGTACTTGGAAGGTTAATAGAATAAGAGAATTATGCAAGAATTTTTATTGTATAATACAAAAAGTACTTTCATAGTTTTAATGATCAGGTAGACTTGTAAGTAATGGATAAATAAAAATGAGACAAAAATAACTTGTCTTATTAAATGTTTATCAAAGACCAAGAGAGGCCAATGTAAGCAATTCCAACAAGGAATTAAGACAGTACAGAAGCACTGATTAGTTTTTAATATACTGTATGGTGATAGTGATGAATAGGGAACAGATTTGAACCTAATTAATGAACTGTTAATGAATGCTAGACTAATTATTTTGTTGATCCTGATCATCATATTTTTCTTGCTTTTGGGCAACAAAGCTTCACCTTTCAGATCATTTTATACTATATGGATCCTCTAAATTGTTGTATCATACTCAGGTGACCGTTAAGGCCCTTGGGCCTCTTGTTTTTACCCTTATCCAGAAATTCATTTCTTTAAGAGATAAAACAATGATTTATCTTAGATTTAACAATTTTGGGGAAGAGGCGTTGTACCCCCCTTAAATCCACCACTGACAATTATTCATTTTTCCTTGAGTGCTTGAGCCATAAATTTTGAGGTGACCCAATCAAAACACCGACATTATGAGAGCTGAGCAGTTGTGTTAGTTTGTATGTAGTTGGATACCTAAAATAATATGGTGTAATGTACCCATGTACTTTATTCTTAGACTATTTAAAGGGCATTCAGTCACAAATTCAAGCAAAAGCGATAGTCATTTTTAAACAATACTGCAATCATTACAAAAATGAAATATTCTGTAGTTTCTTTCATTTTCTAGTATAAGCCTGTTTCTTTATTAAAGCCCTGAAAATGGACCTCATTCTAGAAATCCTCAGTCCTCGAATTAACAAACATATGATAATCTTTGCTTGAAGAGCTTAATAGTGTAATAATGTGAATAACCAGAACAATACAGTTATTGGGGCTCTATTCTGGGTTCATAAATTTCAAAATATGTTCAATCTATAGAATTCATTACAGATTACAATTAACACAAACTTGTCGCATTTGTCTCCACCGCAAAATAAGTTCCAAAGTTGTAAAGGTATTAGGCTTCAGTTCATCAGAAGACCACAGGCACCTGGCGAATGGATGGTGCACCCACCCACTTCCCCGCCACAAACTTCTGAGAATTTTTATTAGACACAATAACTTATCAAAAATACATGAAACATGAACTCCTAGCCTTTCATACCTTTATTCCGATATCTCAATTCATTTTTCGTTTAGTTAAGTTTTAGGGGTTGCCCCTCTGTACAATACTGTATATTCATAAATATACGTGAGGAGGTAAATACTGCGTAATTCCGCGAGAAGCACCACTCGTGAAATAAATTTACTCATTTCTTTTTTTTGGTGTTGAAATCCACATAAAATCTCACGATCAACTGTCCACTGGCGAATTATTGACATCTAAGAGCCATTTTGCAATATTAAGTCCTCGCGTAAAATAAGGAATCTACAGTATATAAAAATACTAAAGGTAAGAAAATCCGGTAAATCTGTGTTTATTTACCAGACTTCCTTCCACTTGCAGCGAATCAGGAGGGTTGTTAATAGGATATGCGGAATGGAGGATATCATATCATTAGTAGCATGAACATACTGTTTTTGCTAAAATACTAACATATTGATACTTTAAGGGAATACTTTTTGTTTTGAGCCATTAAAAAATGCATTATCAAATGTATCTAGTAACTAATTTGGTTAGTAAGATAATATCCATTTCATTCGTATAAGTTATCTCATTTTTGCACAACATGGTTTCCATACTTTTTATCCATAGTCGCTAATAGCTGTAGAAGTTCACTCAACCGAAAATGGCCAATACCAAGGAGCAGAGGAGAAGATTTTCAAAGAATTAATGCATTTTCACTATATCATCATTAGAGCCCCACCCTAACACCAGAACCCCTGACCCAGGGGCCATGAAATTCACAATTTTGGAAGAGGCAACCTTATTCATCATAACTATGCATTTAGTTTGTTTGCATTATACCCAGGAGCAGAGGAGAAGATTTTTAAAGAAATAATGCATTTTCTCTATATATTCAACAGGTCTGGACGATTTCCAAATATGGAAGTCAAGAACGATAACCGTGAATTGCTATAAATACACAGAATAAACAAGGTGCTAATCCTTCTGACCAATCAAATAACTGGATTTAGACAACCCATGAGAAAATAAATAAAACATGTGGTTTCAACTTTTAAAAATCTATCACTACGAGATAGCAAGCCAACCCCAAAAGTTTAACTTGTGTTAAGAAATTTGATATAAATACAGCAGATTTTCAGTTTTTTGAGCCTAACATGAAAATTTTTCATATGGGAATATAACAGTATAATTTCTTGAGTGTTTATTACATTGTACAAAATCATCCATGCAGTTTCTGGTATGCGAGGTAAGATATGGTGATAAAAAGAATTCATGCACATTCCCTTTTCTCCATGTTTTTCACCTTTCTTTATGTCCATTTAAAGTGTATATAGCATGGTATTCGGCGCTCATGAAACCCATGTTATTTTAAAACTACATGTAGTCTATACGATGAATACTTGTGTGCAGTAGATCTATACGCATGGAAACCATGCATTATCGATGAAAATCGGACGGCTAAGCAAAATTACATTTATGAACATAGAGTTAGTTCTAGTAAATGTTATAATTGTATTTGATAATAGCTTGACGATGTGATCTCTTCCTCCATAAACGATCGCATTGTTACATGCATTAATTTTTTTCTTTTCTGAGATGAAAATGTCAAGTTTGTTCATGGTAAATATGTGGGGAATACCTTATTCTTTCAAACTTTTCATCTTACTTCTAAAGATTTTTTGTCAAAAAAATCTTTTTGAGGAAAAAAAACAAAAGCAAGTGTTCTCTTTTTGTTCTTTGAAATATGTTTTGGGGTGTGTAAAAATGCCGTTCTCTGATTGGGCAGAAAAATATTTACGTGTATATGATGTATATTTATAGCAACTTTCAGTTATCGTTCTTGACTTCCATATTTGGAAATCGTCCAGACCTGAGCCCCGTTTTGAAGGAGATTTTAACATTAATAAGCATTCTGAGAGTATTGCATAAGCAATACTAGTCCCTTACCGGGAAGTGTAATCTGGTTCCCATTAAAAATTGAAAATGCCATAATTCCGTCAAAAATCATTGAAGCAAAATGAAATGCAAACTTGATATATAACTAATCAAGGTAAAGTCACATACCAAAAATCAGCTCAATATCTGCAAGCGTTTAGGAAAAAAATGCGGAAAACCCTTGAAAATTGAAAAGGTAGTAATTCCGACAAAAATCACTGAAGTGGAACCAAATGCAAACTTGATCTGTAACTCATCAACATACAATCACATACCAAAAATCAGCTCAATATCTGCAAGCGTTTAGGGAAAAAGTGCAGAAAACCAAGTGGGACAGACTGACAGACAGATGGACAGACAGACAGACAGTTAGACAGACGGACAGACTCCGAGGAAACCTATACCCGTAGGGGACTAATAAAGCATTTCAAATGGAATTTATGCAAGGGGCAGATCAGGGAGATTATGTCTTAAAAGCCTCTTCTGTTCACATCCGGTCAAAATGTTTTATTTGTCCTAAATCCATGTTTATTTACCAGACTTCCTTCCACTTGCAAGCGAATCAGGAGGGTTATTAATAGGATATGCAGAACAGAGGATATCATACCATTTAGTAGTATGAACATACCGTTTTTGCTAAAATACTAACATATTGATACTTTTAGGGAATACTTTTTGTTTTGAGCCATTAAAAATGCAGTATCAAATGTATCTAGTAACTAATTTGGTTGGTAAGATTATATACATTTCATTTGAATAAATTATTTCATTTCTGCACAACATGGTTTCCACACTTTTTTATCCATAGTCTTTAATAGCTGTAGAAGTTCACCCAACCGAAAATGTCCAATACCTAGGAGCAGAGGAGAAGATTTTCAAAGAATTAATGCATTTTCACTATATCATCATTAGAGCCCCACCTAACACCAGAACCCCTGACCCAGGGGCCATGAAATTCACAATTTTGGAAGAGGCATCCTTATCATCATAACTATGCATTTAGTTTGTTTGCTTAATACCGAGGAGTAGAGGAGAAATATTTTAAAGAAATAATGCATTTTCACTATATATTCAACAGAGCCCCACCATCGCACCAGAACCCTTGACCCTGGGACCATGAATTTCACAATTTGGTTGAGGGCTCAATGCTTATTACTATCGTACCAACAGTTTGACTGCTTGATGTCCAGGAGTAAAGAAGATTTTTAAAGATTGCAGTAATTTAAGTGGTTTTGGCCCCACCCTCAGGTCGCCCCAGGGGGGAAGGGACCATGAAATTCACAATTTTTGTTCCTCTTCACCCATAGATGCTATATTCCAAAATTGGTTGAAATTGGTTGAGTGGTTTCTGAGAAAAAGCTAAAAATGTTCAAATGTTAAAACACATCACATGACACATGAAAACAGCAATAGGTCATCTGAGTTTACTCAGGTGACCTAAAAATAGATAGCAACTGGTCACCTGAGTGACCAGTGACCGAAAATGCAAGAATTTAATTTTTGTCCTTGACCTTTGAAAAACTGAGTCCAAAGACAAAAGACAAGCTTTCTGAACCTATCTCCAAATTACTCAGAAGTTTTAAGTCATGCAAGTGTTTATGGACAAATGGAACAATGCATAGATGAAAAGGTGAAATAGACAGACTCATTCTATATCATGATAACTGCGTAATAATGTGGAATCCTTCATTCTTTAAATCACAGATACTTCTTGTAAAATTCATTTCTGGACATAATGTTTTATTACTGACTTTTTTTGGCCTTAGTAAACCATAACTTTACTACCTACCACTCTGGCATATTCATTTTTGGACTTTGAAAAGCAAGATTGTGCAAGCCTCAGTTCCTCAATTCTATCATCCAATTTCTGAAATATGAATGCAGAGTTTAAACAAAGGTAATCAAAGATGACAGAGTTCACCTGAACAAAAGACAAGATAGACTAAGAACCCTTGTTGGCCCCTGGTTTGGAGTATTTCTAAGAATGGTGCTATAGTTCATAATTTAAAAAAAAAATGTTCCTACAAAATGAGTATTGATTCTAAGTAAGGCTGTCCAAAATTAATTCTACGTTTAACGTCACCTCTAAAATTCAAAACCTACGAGGGAGGGAGTGTGATATGGTAAAATTGTTATAATGTATTTTATATTTATATATTTGACAAAATAATTTTTGGTAAAATAATTGTTCCAGTGATTGATTTTGAACCATGGTCCTTTAGATTTTGAAGCGAGCTGCCTATCCACTGGACCATGGAGTTATATGACCAATGTATCGTCAATTATTTAAATAACTGTAATAACAATCTATTCTATTTCAGTAATACTTTATGTTAAATTTTTTTTGGGGTTTTCTGTAAGTTCTTCATTTAATATATACATCTAAAAATACGAATAATATAAAATAATAGTGTTTCTTTAAAAAATAATTTTTATTCCTTTGTTTGAATTGTCGGTTGTTCATAACAAGACACGCCATATTGAGATTCGAAAGCTTTGTGAAATTGAAGTCTGTAAAGTTAAAATAAATTCTAGTTTATCGCCATAGAAGTTATCAAAGTATGTAAGTATTTATCTATTAAGTATCCTGTAAAATTTATGCATAATTTACAGCATATTAAGAGTTTATTTTGTAATTCTTAAATGAGTTGATTGTTTAGGTTTCCATATGAGATAAAATGTTTACGAAAGAAGCTAATGATCAAATTTACTAATTCTGTTAAATAATTATCATATCATATCATATCATTCACTGAATGTCTTCATATACCATGCTTTTATGCACTTCATTTTAATCATTGTAATCAAAAAGTAATCATGATTACAACACTTTTTCCAGAGAAATTGATTAAATTATGATCACTTGTAATCTGAAAAATGGATGATTACTGATTACTCATGATTACATTGCAAACTGTAATTGATTACAGATGATTACAATTACTGATTATGATTACCCCTGCTGACCCCAGGTACCATGATCTGAAAATTTACAATCTACACTACCTGAGTAAAATTTCACCGAAAGTTCATCTTTTCTGGTCCAATTGTTCTTTGAGAAGATTTTCCCCATATATTTCAATGTAAACTTCAGTTTCAGCTTTTCAGACTCAGTGGTTCTGGAGTAGAAGGTTTTTAAATATTTTTTCTACGTATTTCAATGTAAAACTTTGATCCCCTATTGTTGCCCCACCCTACCACGAGAAGACTACAAATCTACACTAGCTTGGTAATCTTCCATGTAAGTTTTACTTTTTATGGAAGATTTTTTATGACCCCAACCTATTTTTGCCTTTTTTTTATTATCTCCCCTTGGAAGGGGGCTTGGTCCTTCATTTTAGCAATTAAGAATCCCCTTTACCATGAGATGCTTTTGTTAAAATTGGCCCACTGGTTCATGAGAAGTTAAAAATGTGAAAAGTATACAGAGGGACAGACAGACAGATGAATGCATGAACAGACAATGGACATGATGGGAGATCTATGAGGTGCTGTTTTGGTATTTATTGCCAGTTAGTGATTTCACCTATTCGAATAGGTGATATCACCTATACGAATAGTTGATATCACCTATTTGAATAAATGATATCACTCATTCAAATTGAATAGGTGATATCATCAATTCGAATAGGTGATATCACCTATTTGCATTTCTTACAACAATAAATAATGAATGCTCCCTTCCACATAACTATCTAGATTTCCATTGGAACCAAGCAGTTTTCCCCTGTATTTGAGTCTGAGACATTTTAAATACCTTATGTTATTGACCCCTGTAAAGTTATATAAATTTTATGAATTATACCAAGCTGGGGTACAACAGAGTGGCATACCTTTCTCTCTTTATTAGGTCACCTGAGTCACTCAGGTGACCTATTGCTATCTGTTTTCGTCCGTCGTCGTCCGTCGTGTGTTAACATTTGAACATTTTCAGCTTCTTCTCTGAAACTGCTGAACCAGTTTCAGCCAATTTTAGCATATGGCATCTATGTGTGAAGGGGAACAAAATTTGTGAATTTCATGGTCCCTGCCTCCCTGGGGCCTGAGGGGTGGGAGTAAAACCACCAAAATTAATGTCATCTTTAAAAATCTTCTTCTTGACTCCTGGACATCAAGCAGTCAAACTGTTGGTACGATAGTAATAAGCATTGAGCCCTCTACCAAAATTGTGAAATTCGTGGCCCCAGGGTCAGGGGTTCTGGTGCTAGGGCGGGGCTATATAGATCATATACTGAAAGTGCACTATTTCTTTGAAAATCTTCTTCTCTTCTCCTGGGTATTATTGAAACAAATTGAATACATAGTTATAATAAGCAAGGGTGACTCTATCAAAATTGTGAAATTCATGGCCCCAGGGTCAAGGGTTCTGGTGCTAGAAGGGGGGGGGGCTATATAGATCATATAGTGAAAGTGCATTATTTCTTTGAAAATCTTCTCTACTCCTGGGTATTATTTAAACAAATTAAATACATTGTTATGATAAGCAAGGGTGACTCTACAAAAATTGTGAAATTCATAGCCCCAGGGTCAGGGGTTCTGGTGCTAGGGCGGGGCTATATAGATCATATACTGAAAGTGCATTATTTCTTTGAAAATCTTCTTCTCTACTCCTGGGTATTATTGAAACAAATTGAATACATAGTTATGATAAGCAAGGGTGACTCTTCCAAATATGTGAAATTCATAGCCCCAGGGTCAGGGGTTCTGGTGCTAGGGTGGGGCTATATAGATCATATAGTGAAAGTGCATTATTTCTTTGAAAATCTTCTCTACTCCTGGGTATTATTTAAACAAATTAAATACATAGTTATGATAAGCAAGAGTGGCTCTACCAAAATGCAAAATTCATAGCCCCAGGGTCAGGGGTTCTGGTGCTAGGGCAGGGCTATATAGATCATATAGTGAAAGTGCATTATTTCTTTGAAAATCTTCTTCTCTACTCCTGGGTTATATTTAAACATATTAAATACATAGTTATGATAAGCAAGGATGCCTCTTCCAAAATTGTGAATTTCATGGCCCCTGGATCAGGGGTTCTGGTGTTAGGGAGGGGCTCTATTTATTATATAATGAAAATGCATTAATGCTTTAAAAATCTTTTCAGCTCATGGGTATTATTTAAACAAACGAAGTACATCATTATGATAAGCAAGGATGCCTCTTCCAAAATTGTGAAATTCATGGCCCTAGGGCAGGGCTATATAGATCCTATAGTGAAGGTGAATTATTTCTTTGAAAATCTTCTTCTCTGCCCGTGGGTATTATTTAAACAAACTAAGTACATTGTTATGATATGCAAGATTTCCTCTTCCAAAGTTTTGAATTTCATGGCTTCAGGGTCAAGGGTTCTGGTGAAAAGGGGGGGGGGGGGCTCTATTGATTATATAGTGAAAAAGCAAAATTTCTTTGAAAATATTCTTTTATGCTTCTGGTTAAAAAGCAAAGAAGCTAAGTGTATAGTTATGATGAGCAAGAGTGCTTCTTTCATAGTAGTGAATTGCATGACCCCTGGGTCATGGGTTGGTGTAAGGGTGGGGCTCTTGATAATATAGTGAAAATGCATTAATTCTGTTAAATAACCCTGTCTGCTCCTTAGTGTTAAGCAGATAAACAAAGTGATTACTTATGATGGGCAAACTTCTGGGCCCAGGGTGAGAGGCTCTTGTGTTTCTTGGTGGGGACAAGGGGGGGCTCTATTGATAATATAGTGAATCTGTAGTGAAATGCATTATTTCTTTAAAATCTTCTCTGCACCTGGGCATATCAGAGGCAAAAAAAAAAAAAAAAGTTTTAGTAAAGACCCTGACCCTCTGGCCATGAAAATCACAATTTTAGAAGAGGCATTCTTGCTCATTATAACTACATGTATGTACTTAGTTTATTTAATACCAAGGAACATAGAAGAAGATTTTCAAAGAATTATTGCATTTTCACAATATAATCAATAGAGCCCCCCCCCCCATTTTCATCAGAACCCTTGACTCTGGGGCCATGAAAATCACAATTTTGGAAGAGGCACTCTTGCCCATCATAACTATATACTTGTTAGTTTTTTTAATACACAGGAACAGAGAAGAAGATTTTCAAAGTATTAATGCATTTTCACTATATAATCAATAGAGCCCACCCTAACACCAGAACCCCTGACCCTGGGGCCATCAATTTCACAATTTTGGAAGAGGCACTCTTAGTCATCATAACAATATACTTGGTTAGTTTTTATAGTTTAATACCCAGGAACAGAGAAGAAGATTTTCAAAGAACGCATTTTCACAATATAATCAATAGAGCCCCCCCCCCCCCCTTTTCACCAGAACCCCTAACCCTGAGGCGATTAAAATCACAATTTTGGAAGAGGCAATCTTGCATATCATAAAAATCTACTTACTTTGTTTAAATAATACCCAGGGGCAGAGAAGAAGATTTTCAAAGAATTAATGCATTTTCACAATATAATCAATAGACCCCCCCCCTTTTCACTAGAACCCCTGACCCTGGGGCCATGAAAATCACAATTTTGGAAGAGGCACTCTCGCTCATTACAACTATGTACTTAGTTACTTTATTTAATACCCAGGAGCAGAGAAGATTTTCAAAAAATTATTGCATTTTCACAATATAATCAATAGAGCCCCCCCCCCCCTTTTCATCAGAACCCTTGACTCTGGGGCCATGAAAATCAAAATTTTGGAAGAGGCATTCTTGCTCATTATAACTATGTACTTAGTTTATTTAATACCCAGGAACAGAGAGGAAGATTTTCAAAGAATTAATGCATTTTTACAATATAATCAATAGAGCCCCCCCCCTTTTCACTAGAACCCCTGACCCTGGGGCCATGAAAATCACAATTTCGGAAGAGGAACT